TCCCCTCCATGACCTTGGGGCTGCTCTGCTGCCCCTCATCTTGGGGGAAGCAAAGCCTCAATACTGGCCGAGCTGCCAGCCTGTGATGCAGACAGCTGCCTTCTGCACTGGGACATGGTGAAATCAGGAGACACAGCCCCCAGTTTGGTTAATTTTGGTCAAGGGCTCTTGCTTGAGCTCCCCTCTCCCTCAGCCACCACGTCCCCACTGCCAAGTACCAAGCAGGTAACACAAGGACCAGGCGCAGAGCTGAAGGGGGCAAGGACTGAGGCCAAAATGCAGATGCCCACTTGTACCTGGGTAGGGCATCTCCCTGCAGAGCATACAGAGGGCCAGGGACAGGGGTCTGACCCATGCAACCCCCCACTGAACACAGCGCTGCACCCACACCCAGTGCAACCTTGATTCACACCGGCATGGGCAGGGGGGGCAGGGGGAGCCTGGCCCTGGGGAGGGTTGGCATGGCAGCCCTGGCCGGTGGCCAGCCCTGGGCACCAGTGGGGAGCCCAGCGAGCAGCTTACGCCTGCTGAAGCACCGGGGTGCTCTCGGGTTTCCCTCCAGCAGCCTCAGCCTGAACATGGCCCATTTCCACCAGCTGATTTGTGTGCAAAGCAGGGAGGGGATCCCAATGAGTGAAAACATCCCAGCTCCTCCAAAAGCAGATTTTCCACCAAAAAAAGCATATCAAAAACCAGCAGCACGCTTCTGTCCCCGGTCTCTCCCAAACACCCTCCAACTCTGACGTAGCAGCCCCAGGAGGATGCTATTATGCTGTAAAATGGAAGGAGAAACTAAGGTACGGATGGCTTTTGCATTTCCCCAGCCGAGAAGGGGTTTGCTGCCAGAGAGGACAGGCAGCCCCGCCGGCAGGCAGGCAGCGCTGCCGGCTGTGCCCTGTCAGGCTGTGGCACAGGGGCCAGGGCTGGTCTAGCCTCACTAGCTGCAGGAATTTTGCACCTCTGCCAGCTCCAGACAAATCTCTTTTATTTGCTTGTTCAGGTTTCGATGCCGTAATTGCATCATCTGGGCCAACTCTTGAGAGAAAGAGGAAGAAAAGGGGAAAAAGAAAGGGAAGGAGAGCAGCCCAGCACCCAAGCCACCAGCCTCATTGCATCCTACTTGCTCCTGGCTGGGGACAAGCCAACTCCTTCCTTCCAGAGTCTGGCTCCCCATCACAGCTCTGGACCTCCCTGGAGTTGGGACTAAGTGATCAGGGACAGTTTGGTCCATGGGGAGGTTTTGAGTCTCAAAAGTCCTTAAATGCTGCTGGTTTGGAGGGTCAAAGCACTCCTTGAGTGTGAGCTTGGCCCTGGGATGCCCATGGAGATGGGTCCTGCCAGCCCTCTCTGGGCACAGAGCAGCACAGCCCAGCTGTGGGCTTCCTTCCCACCTTCCCCGAAAATGAATTTGCTCTAAATCATGAGCTCTGGGAGGCAGGTGATGAGCATTTCCAGCGTAAACAGGAGTCTCCTTGTCCTCGCCCAGCCAGGCACAGAGCTGCCCTCTCCACACTGGCAGGGCTTTGGTCACCTGGGTGGAGACCCCTGGTGCCACAGGACCTCAGGATGAGGACAGGCAGGGGCAGGATAGGACTCAAACTGGTGGGTGCAAAGAGCCAGCTTGATGCATTCCCACTGCACAGGGGATGCTCTGCTGGGTACCCCTATCCCCATGTGGGGTGAGAGGGGCAGGACCCACACTAGGACCAGCTGTGAGCCTCAGGATGGGCAGGACACCTCCTCAACCCAAGCACCACTGCAAAGGACAAGGCAGCATGCATGGTGTTTGCACCCTCCCTCATCCCCAGAATAATCCTTGCGGATAGAGGATGGTCACCTGGTCTGTGTCAGCTTTGAGCTACACGGCAAAATAACAAGCTGCATTGAAGGGAAAGCACAAAGTCGGTCAAAAAAGATCAAAGTGTTTCTGACCACGTGGGTGGTTGGGCTGGAGAAAAGACAGCACTGAAAACCACAAGTGTCTGGTTTCCTGAAATCACTACTTTTCTGGTTAAAAACAAAATGGGAGAGAAGGATGTTTTGGCAGCAGGTTCCCTGGGTCCCGAGGAGAAGCCTGACTGTCCCTGCGCTCGGGGGATGTAGATCAGCCCCAGGGGTGACACACGGAGTGTCGTGGCCAGGTCCCAACCCTCTGCTCTGGCTTCTCCAAAACGCTTTGCACAGCACAGAGATGTCCCTGCCCCGGCCTCTCTCTCCCCGGGCAGGGCTGCCTCCACTCCCAGCACCAAGTCCTTGTCACACACAGCCTGACTGTCCCCGCAGTGTCCCATCTGCCACCGCATCCCCACTCAGTACTGGAGGACAGACCCACCCCACCCCAGGTAAAGCCAGTCCCAGCCCTGTGCCACCAACCAGCCAATGCCCCCTCCCCAAGCACCCCCAGCAAAGGGATGTATCCCCCTGTCCCCCACCCCAAAAAAGAGGCTGCTGTGCCAGGAGTGTTCAGAGAAGGAGTTTTGGCCTGGGGGCTGCTTGCTCCACAGATGTCTCCGACCCTCAGGAACGGCCACCATGGGCAAGGTCATCTTTGTAGCTGGACATCCCATCTCTGGGCTAGTAATAGTCCTCCTCGCTCTCCCCGTAGTCCTCAGGCGTTGTGCTGGGCTTCGGCAGGGAAAAGCCCGTCAGGTTGAGCTGGTCTAAAATGGCAGCATGAGGACAATGTGACATTCATTCCCCTCGGTGCCTGCCCCCTTACCCACAAGGAGCAAAGCCAAACTGTGCACAGCAGCTCGCTGGGGCATCCCCAGTATGGCCCTAGGCACCAGCAGCTCCCACCATAGCGGTGCACCCTGCCCAAACATCCCTTCCCTCATCCCCAGAGAGGACACGGTGCTCACCTGGTGTGAAGACAGTCAGACTGGCTAACGCCACCACCTCCCCAACCCTGTTCCTGGCGAAGCAGCGGTAAATGCCTTCATCCGTCACCCGCACACCCTGGATCTGGAGCCAGCCCGTCACTTCGTATTTCTGGGGGCCGCCTCTGAACTGCAAGAGGTGGGGATTTCAGTTAGCCCTGGTGTCAGGACACGGTGCTCACCTGGTGTGAAGACAGTCAGACTGGCTAACGCCACCACCTCCCCAACCCTGTTCCTGGCGAAGCAGCGGTAAATGCCTTCATCCGTCACCCGCACACCCTGGATCTGGAGCCAGCCCGTCACTTCGTATTTCTGGGGGCCGCCTCTGAACTGCAAGAGGTGGGGATTTCAGTTAGCCCTGGTGTCAGAAAAGCCCCACATGGTGCTGGGATGGATGGGAAGGGGGACACAACCCCAGGGAAACTCTTTGCCACTACTCTAGGGGCAGGCGCAGACCCCCTGGATGCAGGTCCCCCCTTTCCCACTACCCAGGGAAGGTGGGATGAATGGGCATCTTCTTGCTCCTGGAAAAGTCTGGGAGCCCGGCTTTGGGTAGGATCCTGCAGATGTGCCCTGGACTCCCAGCTGTGCCCCCAGTGCCACCGTGGTCCCCAAATGGCAGGAGGATGTTGGAGCTTTGCGGGGTGGCAGAAGCAAGGGAGTATCTGTGCCATGGGCACAGCTAGCCTGGGGTGGTTCAGAGAAGCCCCAAATCCCCTGTTCCAGCAGGCAGTGAGGTCCCAAGACCGCTCTGGCGCCAGCCACACTATTTTCTGTTTGTCCCCAGCAAGAAATAGCTTTTTCCTGACCCAGCTGGGCTGCAGCTGTGTTTGCAGGCTGCTATTCTGGGGCAGTGGCTGGG